CACACCTCCTTGCGGGTGCCAAACTCCACGAGCGGCTCATCGCTCACCCTTGCAGTCAAAACTGTGCTTCTGGCGCTGGAAACGCTCTCTCTCTCTCTCTTTCTCTCCTGGGGGGCAGTCGCCCTCCTCTCCCGTGTTGGATCGGGGGCCATTCGATCACACCCCCTCGAGGATGCCAAACTCCACGAGCGGCTCAGCGCTCATCCTTGCAGTCAAAACTTTGCTTTTTGGCGCTGGAAGCGCTCTCTCTCTCTCTCTCTCTATTTCTCTCCCGTGTTAGGGTCGGGGGCAGTCGCTCGCAGGCACGTGGAGCTGAATCGTTCTATGACTTCGCCACTGGTCGTATCATATTATTTCATTTCCCACCTCCTCCTCTTCCTCCTCCTCCTGCTCCTCCTACTCCTCCCCCTCCTCCTCCATTCCGTCCCCCTGCCTCCTCCCCCCGCCTCCCCCCCTCATACTCTATTATATCGTTTCCCCCCTCCTCCTCTTCCTCCTCTTCCTCCTCCTGCTCCTCCTCCTCCTCCTCCTCCTCCTCCTCCTCCATGCCTCCCCCCTTCCTCCTGCCCCAGCCGCCCTGCTGGCCCCGCTCTGGCTGGCGAGATGTGCCCGTAGCGGGAACTCGAAGCGACAGACACACATGCACACCACACATATCCCACAACATACACAACACACACACACGCAACACACACGCAACCCACACACACACACACCCCACACAACACACAACACACAACACACACACACGCCACACACAGCACACACATGCACGCACGCACGCACACACAACACAACACAGCACAGCACAATACAACACACCACACCACACCACACCACAACACATCACACACACGCACATACGCACGAACGCACACGCACACACGCACACACGCACACACAACACACACACAACACACACAAAACACAACCCACAGCACAGCACAGCACCACACAACGCATTATTACACAAAACACCACACCACAGCACAACACACCACACCAACACACAACACGCCACAACACACACACACACACACACACACACGCACACACACACACACACGCACACACACACATGCACACAAACAACACACAACGCACACATCACACACACCACACACACATCACACACAACACACACAATACACAACCCACACAACACACACACACAACACAAACAAACACACACACAACACCCACACACAAGCGCACGGCCAAGCCCCGCTCCGATGAGCACTCGGCAGGCCCCGCGATCCAGCTCTCCTCCTCCTCCTCCACCTCCTCCTCCTCCGCCTCCTCCTCCTGCTCGTTCTCTTTCTCCTCATCGTCCTCCTCCTCCTCCTCATCCTCCTCGTTCTCCTCATCCTCCTCCTCCTCCTCCTCCTTCTCTTCCTCCTCCTCCCCCTCCCTCGATCCTACGTCCTCCCGCTCGATCCTCTCCCCGTCTTGATATTCGATCACCCTCCCCACCCTTCCCACCCTGTGCCTCGTTCTTGTCCTCCCCCTCGCCGTCATCCTTATTCCTCCTCCTCCTCCTCCTCCTCTGTTTCCTCCTCCTCCTCCTGCCCGTTCCCGCTTGCTCCCGGCCGCTCATCGCCGCGTACCTCGGTCGTCGCCCGCGTGGGGCCAGCCGCGGTGCCGAACAAGTCCCCCCCCGAACCACATCGCTTCCCCTCCTCCTCCGCCGCGCCCTTCCTCTCTTCGCTCCTCGCTCCTCCTCGCACCTCCTCCTCCTCCTCCTCCTCCTCCTCCCTCCTCCTCCTCCTCCTCTCTTGCTCCTCGTCCTCTCCTCCTCCTCCTCCTCCTCGTGCTCCTCCTCCTCTTCCTCTTGCTGGTCCTCCTCCTTGTCCTCCTCTTCCTCCTCCTCCTCCTCCTCCTCCTCCTCCTCCTCCTCCTCCTCCTCTCCACGCCACGAGGCCGCACCCGAGCAGCCGACGTTGCCGTCGCGACCCCCCCCTCTTGCCAGAGGTCGGCGGGATCGTGCGAGACAGGAACAGCATCGGTAATCCCCCCGCGTCACTGATGGGCTGAGTCGCTGGCGCACTGAGTCACTGATGGGCTGAGTCGCTGATGGGCTGAGTCGCTAGCGCACTGAGTCTCTGAGTCACCGATGGACTGAGTCGCTGATGGGCTGAGTCGATGGCGCACTTAGTCACTGATGGGTTGAGTCGCTGGTGGCCTGGTGACCCTCTTTTGCCAAGGGTTGGCGCATTTGTGTGAGCCAAGTCCAACATCGGCAATCTCCCCGCGTGCATCTGGGCGGCATTTACCCAACCAGACTCGACGATGATGGGCAAGGCCAAAGCGATGACCATCTTAGGGACGTGCCCTCAGAAACTGAGGGGATGGTTAAGATCGGCATCGAGATAAGGTGATGCCTAACATAGGGATAGGCATAATCCTGAACGGTCTTTTGACCCCCAATGGGAGGTAAATAGTTTTTCGGCAGCCTTATTGAAGGCCCTGGGTCCAGCCAATATGGGGGGTAACTGATAAT